ATTCAGTTCGGATCACAAAGCTTAAGCCAACTCTGTAGTCATGATGAGTCATGTCTAAAGAGAGTAATTCAGAAAGGTTGAAATAAAAGGGTTGGCAAAAGTTTCAAGAAAAATGTGAATTAAAAAAGCAGAGATTACCATCTTAACAGATAAAATTGAATCTGCCCCAAAAGTATTAAATATGGCAAAGGAGGATGCAATTCACTATGAAAATTTAAGGTATGATCTATGTGTTAAATAACATGGCATCACCATTTATAAGGCCAAAGCTATAGGTGCTACAAGAAGAAATGGACTGGAACACATCAGCAGGAGGCATCGAATTCATTTCTCTGTCCATGACAGGTAAGCAAGGTACAGAAGACCTAACTAACATAATCAGTGGGGCAGGTATAATTGATCTACACCAAACTCTGAATCCTGAAAACAGAGCCACATCTTTTCAAATCCCCATTAAAAAGTCACAAAACTCACCAAAATGATCATAGATTATATCACAAAGAAAATCTCACTAAAGTCCAAAAAAGTAGAAATCATAGACATCGTTCTCTGAATATAATGCAATAAAACTAGAAATAACAAAACACTAAAGCTCCTACTATCTGTGTGGATAGGCGGAACTCAAATGAGCCTTAGGTCAAAGAAAAAAATCAAAGGCAAAATCATAAAATATCTAGAAAATAATGACGATGAAAAATAATACATATTAGAAGCTATAGGATACAGCTAAAGCAGTGCTCAGAGAATTCACCACCTTAATTTTGCTTTTTTCTCTTTTTATCAGTATAAAGATTTAAGCCTCTGACTCAAGGAATTAAAAAAAAAGTAAACAAGAGGAAGATTTTAATAAAGATTAAAGCATAAATGAATGAATTAGAAATCAGACAAGGGTAACTGCTAATAAATCCTAAAGATAGATCTTTGGGAAAGGGGATAGACTCATTAGCTAAATAACCTAATCAAGAAAAATGGGGGAAGGGGAACACGAAATATACAATATAAGGAATAAAGGTGAAATACTCACTTAAAAGAATTTAAATTATTTTATGCAACTTCATGCAAATAAATTTGAAAACCTAGGTAAAATGGACACTTTTCTAGAGAAACATAATTTGCCAAACTCATTCAAGAAGCAGAACAATGAAAACATCAATTATTACAGAAGAAAAGCTAAGAGCTACCCCCCCCCCAAATAAATGCCCTAGCCCAGCCTGTGTCATGGAGGATCAACTAATCTTCAAAGAACAGATAATCCATTTCTACTTGCACTGTTACAAAGCATGGAGAAAAAAGGAAACCCTCCATTGTCTTTATGATGCAAGTGTAACACCGATCGCAAAACCCAACAAAAATTCTTCCAAAGAAAGAAAACTAAAGACTAATCTCACCAATGAAATTGAGGCAAAACTCCTAAATAAAATAGCAAATCCAATCCTGCAGTATATTAGAATGAAATATTCATCATGACCAAGTGGGATTCAACCAGGAATGCAAGGATGGTTCAACATTAAGAAATTTATATCATTATTCATATTAAGAGGTCAAAGGAAAAAACCATATGGTCACAGACACTAAAAAGTCATTTGGTAAAGTTCAACTTCCATTCTTGATATTTAAAGTCATTAATAAAACCAGAATAGATGGGCACTTATTTAACAGTTTGATTTCTGTTTAATTTCAGTTTAATTTTAAAATATCTGCCCTCTAAACCAGCATTTTGTGCCGTGGAGAAATCCTAGAAGCTTCACATTAAAGTCAGGGACAAAAGCAAGAATGTCTATTATCACCACTATTATTTTTCATTGTTTCAGGGATAGTAGCCAACACTATTAAATAAGACAAAGAAATTAAAGTTTAAAACTTCCAAAGTAGGAAGTAAAATTATTTGCAAATGATATGATAATATAATTGGAAAACCTAAGAGACTAAATTGAAAAACCATTACAAACAATAAAAGATTTCAGTAAGGTGGCAGGAGTTAATAGCCTTTATATAAACAACCTGCATTTATGGAAGAAAAGACTAGCCAGAAAAGGTTAACTATCCAGAAGTAAACTTTAAAAAGGTGCCAGATCTAAATGAAGCAAATATTAACACCTTCCAGAGGTAGACAAAAGAAAGTCTGAACAAAGAGAAAGTTTACATATCAGGTGCTCAGAGGGAAAGACATCATCATAAAAAAAGTCATTTCTTCCTAAATTTTAAGTTTCATGCAATCTCAGTAAAAACAGAAACAGCATTTTTGTTCTTACCCAGATAAGTTGATTCTATAGTTCAGACAGAAAAACAGAACAGCCAAGGAAATTCTGCGTGGGAGAATGATGAATAACAAGGAACAAGGACCATCAAAGATTAAGATGTGTTATACACATGCTACAACACGGAGGGACCTTGAAAACATGATGCTAAGTGAAAGAAGCCAGTCACAAAGGCCATGTACTGAAGGATTCCCTTCTTATGAAAGTCCAGAATACAGGAATCCATAGGGAAGGAAGCGGGGGAGTGGTGGTTATCAGAGCGACTGCTAATGGGTAAGGGGTCTCTTCTTGAGGTAATAAAAATGCTCTAAAATTGTGGTGATGGTTGCAAAATTCTGTAAATATACTAAAAACCATGGAATTGTATACTTGAAATGGGTGGACTGTGCAGGATGTGAATTATATCTCAATAAAGCTGCTAAAAACTTTTTAAATGTATTATAACTCTACAATTAAAACAGTATTGCAAGGGCCAGCCCAGTGGCACAGCGGTTAAGTTTGCATGTTCTGCTTCTCAGCAGCCCAGGGTTCTCCGGTTCAGATCCCAAGAGCAGACATGGCACCGCTTGGCACACCATGCTGTGGTAGGCATCCCACATATAAAGTAGAGGAAGATGGGCACTGATGTTAGCTCAGGGCTAATCTTCCTCAAGGAAAAAAAAAACCAAACAGTATTGCACTGATACTTGAATACACTTGGATCATACCCCACATTTCATACCAGATAAATCACAGAACAATCAGAGAGCGTATATTTTAAAAACTAAACCATAAAAGAACTAGAAGAAACCTTAGGGGAGCTTTTTCATTTGTTTGTTTGTTTTTTAAATAATCTCGGTATGACGAAGGGCATTCTAAGTATGATATAAAATCCAAAGGCCATCAAAGGAAATACTGACAAATTTCACAAAGAAAATTACTCCGTGGCAGAATCAAAGGCAAAAGACAAATTGGGGAAAACATCTGGAATTCATAAGACAGACAGAGGTCTACTTCCATCATATACAAAGAGCTCCTACAAATCAATGAGGACAAGAACAACCCAACTGGAAAAACAGACCAAGGAGATGACTAGATAAGTCAGTCAGACCACATCTATCAAAATTACCAATGAACATAGTTTTGACCTAGTATTTCCATTTCTAGAAATTTATCTTATAGTTTTAGTCACACCTTTGGGACACATACACAGTTGTTTCTTGCTGCATTGCTTGTAATGCCCAGGCCAGGTATGGTTCTGCTTAGAGCTGGTCAAATAAATTATGGATCATCCCTGCTACGGAAAACTATATGGCAAAAGAATGAGGACGCTCTTTAGATGCTGACATCTAGGATGTATGACTAAGTGAAAAGTGAGGTGCAGGACAGTGTGTGCACACATATTTGCTGGGATGTGCATAAAACACCTGGAAGGTCACACAGGAAGCTGACAACATGGCTGCCTCTGATAGGAGACCAGGCTGGGCAACTTGTCCCGTGGGGAGAGGGAGAGGGAGTCTCTTGTCTGTATGTCCCTCTATTCCTTCTGAATACTGGATCACATGAATGTATTACCAGGTCTAAAGCTAAATACGTATGGAAAAAGGAGAAAAGCAACAGTTAAGCAGAATGATAAATGGCAAGTGATCCTGTGCTATAGGACAGAGGCGATAGGGAGGGGTGGGGACTGTGGTGAACTGGAGATGGATATCTCCTTTAAAGACGCAATAGTTCTAACCAACAGCTGCAGTATGAGGACACGTGCCTATGCTACCAGATCCTCTGATTTTTTTTCAAAAGACACTAGAAATCCAGAGTTTTATACAAATCTCCGTGTTTTTAAATGTTTCCAAGTACTTCAGTTTTTTGTTTTTTTTTTTTGAGGAAGATTAGCCCTGAGCTAACATCTACCGCCAATCCTCCTCTTTTTGCTGAGGAAGACTGGTCCTGAGCTAACATCTGTGCCCATCTTCCTCTACTTTATATGTGTGATGCCTACCACAGCATGGCTTTTGCCATGCGGTGCTGCACATTTCCTCACCCGGGATCCAAACCGGTGAACCCCGGGCCACCGAAGTGGAACGTGTGCACTTAACTGCTGCACCACTGGGCCGGCCTCACTTCAGATTTTTTTAACACCCCATGGTAACTAAAAATAATCAGAGGATTTGGGATCCCTGTATTAGATGGTCAAAGAGGACAGATGCTTGGAGGTCACCAAGTCCACCTCCCTAATTTGACACATTGAAAAAGCAAGGTCCAGAGAGGGAAAGGACATGCCTGAGATCACACAGCACATCAGGACCGGAGCTGGGATCCCACTGAGGACCATTTGCTTCCGTGTTACCCTGCTCTCTGCTAACGCGGGAAAATGGTGGTGAGCGAGACAGATATGGCGCATAGTGGGGACCATGATGCTGGGAGTGGCCAGAGAAGGCTGCTGGGAAGAAGCCCAGGCCCAGTGGGAGTCGGCCAGACAAAGGGAGTGGGTGCCAGAGTCGGGGAGAGATGCCAGGGAGGCAGCACAGCACAGGCAATGGCCTAGAAGGACATGGAGAGTTCAAGACAGGGTCGTGGTGGGTGGACATGCTGGAGGATGGGTGGCATTTGCTGCCTGGGAACTGCCCTGCAAAGGCCCGAGGTGGGAAAAGCGTGGTGTGTCCAGGAACAGAGAAAAGGCCCCGTGGATGCAGAGTGGACAGAGTGGGGGCGGGGCCTGGGGAAGTGCGGAAGGTGTCACGCAGGGCGAGGGTGCCCACTCACACTTGCGCAGCTCCAGGCTCTTGCTCGGGCAGACCAGGTGTTGGCCCGGCGGGTTCTGGGTCCGCTGCAGACAGGCCAGCATGGCTGAGCTGGGGGTCCGCGGTGGGGCACGCTCTGCGGCAGGGTCCCTGCGAGGGAAATGAGGTGCTGGTCACACGGGGCTGTTCCAGGCCCGCCTCCTGCTTCCCAGCTGCCAGTCGCCGCCAGCAGCTTCCCTCCCCACTACCCCGCCAAACACCGGGGACATTCAGAGCCCACACCCTTCTCCCCTACTTGACAGAGAGGAGGTTAAGGCCCAGAGACATCAAGAGGCTCATCCGTGGCCTCACCGGAAAGTAAAGAATCGGGGTCTCTCGAGTGGTGGCCTTCCCCTATGACAGGGCCAGAACTGTGCAGTCAGATGTGCCCCGGCCCTGCTCAGTGTGCGGGTCACCTCCTTCTGGGAGCTTCCCTGACGTCCCCAGCCTGCTCAGATCCTCACCCGCCTGTGTTCCCTCAGCAGGCTGTCCTTCCAGTGGCGGTGGCCTCCAGCTCTCCCATAACCCTCTGTGAATAGCTCTGCAACCCCCCTTCCGCTTCAAGCTCATCCAGGGCAAAGACCTCATCTGGTCACCTCTGGAAACGACGCAGAGGCTGCCTGGAACTGCCAGGAGGGAAATGGGTGTTCCAGTTTATTTTAGTGCTGGTCTGACCCTGGCCTGGGGCATTGTCACAGCACCCTTGGAGGAGAGATGTCCAGGATGGCACCCTGGGAGAATGACGGCTGCTCTGCCTCTGACCCATGCTGAGCCTGATCCTGGCATCTCAGACTGAGCCCTGAGTCCAAGCCCCAAGGGCCACCGGGCTCCCTGAACGAGCTCCCTACCCCAAACAGAAAGGGCAGGGCCACCCAGGGCAGCCCTGCCCTCCCAGGCTGGGCAGAGTTCTCCCACAGTGGCAGCTCAGGTGTGGCTCCTGACAGGTCCTTATTTGCTCACTCAGTCAGAGCCCAGGGTTTATGTGGCCATGTGCATTTTCATCTTCACAAAACCCGCTTTCCCAGGACGCAGAGCCCCTGTGGGCCGGATGACACAGGCCCGCCCTGGAGGCCCCTGGGGAGAGGGAGCCATTCCCTGCCAGACCCCTCCCTTCCTCTTCCCGGTAAGGAGAGGGCGGCCCAGGTGGGAGTTCAACTCTGGACACCCTCGATGTCCACCCAGCCCGGGCGCGCCATCCCCACCCCCTCCTGATCCCACCCCACCCCCAGTCCGGGGCCTGAGCAGCCAGGCGGGGCCAACTCCATCCTCCTGCTGGTTTAGAGACAGAAGGAGCAGACAGAGGAGGGGGCTGTGTTTAAGGGGAAGAAAGGGAAGTTATTTAATACTAAACAGGTGTCTGGAGCCCTAAATTCTGCCGCTTCCCTCTAATAATGAAGTATTCATGAGGAAAAGCCTTTTTTCACTACTTTCTTAAGATACTAATTTCACAACAAGCTCCTTGTTACGGCGCAATTATTCCAATCTTGTCTTTCCCGAGCCGGCTGCAGCCTCCGTCTGTCCTGGCCTCTCGGTAAATGAGAGACAATCGCGTAACCACCTTTCATTATGCCCTATTTTACTCTCAGCAAAGGTACCCTGAAAGAAATGATTTACTCTGAAAGGGACTTTTATTCAGTTTCAAAACCAATTTTCTCCTATTACCGTCTCAAAAGAATAAGAGAGTAGGGGCTGGGTGTGGGGGGGGCCCTACCCCTCCCCCCCCAATCGCCAGCCTTAACCAGCCATGCAATAAAAGCTGCAGTATCCACTTCCTGGCATTGATTTCTGGTAATTTTAAAATATGCCATTACAATCAGGCAGAAATTATACAGTTTAAAAAGGGAATGAAGTGGGTCTTATTGCAGAGATGGAAGCCCGTGACTGCGGAACAAGGCGCTGTTCCCCGGGGACAGGGACGCGAGCAGGCGGCCAGAGCAGGGCTTGCTGGCACTCTTTAGGACATACCCGCACACCTGGGCACGCTCTGCCCCGCTCGGACACCTGGTCCACACACGCGCGTGCACGCTCACCCCGTACGTCTTACTGCAGGTGGGCACACCGCAGTCACAACTTTGTCCACACCATGTGACACACCCTTCCATGCCCTCTGGACCCCTCTCGGCCACACGAAGGCAGTGCACGGGCACGCACAGTCGTGTGCACACCTGCAGGTCAGAGGGCTGCAGCCACCCCGGCAGCCGGGCCTCTCCCCCAGCCAGCCCAGGGCAGCGTCCACCTCCCACGGTTCTGACGCAGGGGTTGGGGGGAGAGGGGTGAGCTGGGGAAGGCCAGCCAGCTGCAGGGCCCAAGCCTCTCCCTCCACATGGGGAAACCCAAGCCAGATGGAAGCAGCACCCTGCTCAGGGCCACCCAGCAGGCAGGGGCGGGGTGAGCCTGCCCCTCACCACTGGGCGACACTGCTGCCCACAAGCCGGGACAGCACTGGCCCAGGAAGGAGGCAGGCCAGCGAAGTCATTCACCGAGGAGACCTGGGCTGGAAGCCTGGAACCTCCCTAGGCCCAGTGCCCGCCACGTGACCCCAGAGGAACTACTGGCCCTCTCTGGCCTTGTAAAAGCAGCTCCATGTTCAGGCTGGACTCAGGCCTTGGGAGGTCCTCCCCACCTGTGGTCTTTCACCTGTGCCGGGGCCCAGAAGCCCAGGCTCTCTCCAGGCCCCCATGACCCCCATGACCCCCAGGGCCCCCATGACATCCTAGCATGCTTTGCAGCTGAGGAGGGCAGGCTGGGAGCTGCAGAGGTTATTGGGTGAGGGGTGGGCTGCCTATTCTGGGGCCTCCCTGGACCCCGTCTACTGCCCGCCCAGCCAGGCTCCGGTTTTCAGAGTGCTTTGACGGCGGACACACAGGCAGTTCTGGGAGCCAAGAGAGGTCCCCTGCCCCAGCTCCGGAGGCCACAGAGGACTCCCTGGAGGAGAGAGTGTCCCTGTGAAGGCCTCAACTCAGCTTTTCTGGTGAAGCTGGCTGGATGGTTTCATCCCTCGTTTCTGGAGGACCAGCAGGCAGGGTCCTGCAGCCTGACAGACTATCTTCACTGGAGACGAGGGATCTCTCTCTCTGCACCCCTAATCCCTCCAACTCACTGCCTATCCTCCCAGGAACCCTGTGCCCTGCCGCTGGGACAGGTGGGAGTCCGGGGTGGGGTCAGGGCAGGAGCCAGCCCAGCATGAGTATGAATGGACCACCACCTCCGGTTTCTGAGTCATCCCGTTATCCACAAACACGACCAAGTGAGATCCTCTCCTTGGCCTAAAAACTCTCCGGCCTCAGAACAGAGCCCAGCACTCTTTGCCTGGCCCTCACGGCCCCTTTGACCTGCCCCTCTCATCTCCCCTGGCCCTCCCTCCAGCCTGGCTGCCTCACACCTCCAAACCTTTACCTGTGCTGGGCCCTGAGCCATTTTAACTCCCACTCTGGCTCAGCTGTCCCCTCCTCCGGGCATCCCGTCACAGCCCTCATCACACAGACTTGTAATTGCCAATTTTCATGTCTGTCTCTCTCCAGTGGACTGTGAGTTTCTCAGGGGCAAAGACCATGTCTTATTTGTCTTTCTCTCCCCAGTGCCTGGCAAAGAGTAATCGTTTAATAAATAGGTGTTGAATGAATGGCTGAATTGGTTATTGTTAGATGAAGTGACTGAGGCCCAGAGAAGCCAAGCGTCCTGCCCAAGGTCACACAGCAAGCTAGAGACAGCACTGAAGCAGGTGCCTAAAACAGTCATGATCTTCCCATGACCCCACCCTGCCTCGTCTCTGCTTGGCATCATCCCGTCTGTAGAAAGCCAGCCCCTCATTATTTCCCTGGCCAGGGACCGTCCTGAGAGCCCTGCTCATTCTGAAACTCTATCTGCAAATCAGGCTGTTTATAAGCCCAAGGTCTTTTGTGACTTTAATAATAAAAAAAAGGGGGGCGGAGGGGGAAATGTCGCAAGCCTCAATGATTGGAATGCTTTGGCACCGTCCCTGACATGGGGGCTGATAAGACGCGTTATCTCGGAGGCACCCCTAGGAAAGGTCCCTTCACAGATACCGCCCCCAGCTGTCGATATGCCCTTTCATAGCTGAGGATTTAGATAAAGGAAATGTGACAGGGGAGGGGAAAATAGGGAAGGAACTTTTCAAGTCCGAGGAAGAATTGAGTCTGTGCTGCTCGTCTTGGCAGAACAATGCGTGGGAGCAGGATGTCTAAAGGCTGTCTTTATTTTTATTAAAAGAATGGGGAATTGGGGCCTTTGGCCCTGCCTGCCTTTTGTCATCTCTCCCTGCCTATCTGGCTGTAGGGGGCATTGGGGAGCCCCCCCTAGGCCAGTGGGAGGGGGGAGCTCAGAAATAGCAATGCACACCTCAGCGCTAATAATAGCATGTGCATTTACTGATTGCTCCCTCTGTGCCACACCCCACGTGCGCCCTGTCCATTATGCCCACTGCAGCCTCCTAGCAGCCTCTGCGGTGGTAGGTTCTGCTTTTAGCCCCATTTCACAGGTTGGGAAATGGCCACAGAGAGGGGAAGTAATCTGCACAAGGTCACACAGCTTTTAGGTGGCAGAGCCCGAGAGTGTCAACCCCAGCCAGGGCCCCCACCCCTGGCTCCATCGTGGCAGGGGCCATCAGCCCCCAGCTACCCATCGGCCGGGCAGGAAGGAACAGAAGTGAGGGCCTGCTTCTCTCCAGTGCCCAAGTCTACTTTGATTCTATTCTGGGAGGGGCTGGGATCACAGAGAGGGAGAGGAGAGGAGGGGAAGGAGGAGGAGGGGCTCCCAGGAGGCCACTTATTCATCCCATAAACATTCACAGAGGACAACGCATGAAGCCTGTGTGGGGCAGAACAGTCCTGAGATGAATAACGCCCGGGCCCTGGCTCTTCCAGGGACCTGCTTTGAGAGGGCAGTCATCCACCCCCCCATTCATTCATTCACTCACTCAGGCCTTCATTCAGGCAGGCAGGCAGCAAACACTGCCTGAGCATCCTTTGGGGGCCAGCCCCGGACCACGTGCTGGAGTCCGGAAACCAGTAAGAACGTCCTGCCCAAAGGGAGCATCTGAGACCGTCTGCCCACTCCCAAATCCAGCCCCTTAAAAAGGGACTTTCCCAGCT